TGCTGCCAGTACAAAACATTTAGATTAATTCTTTCAATCGAGTCCATTAGATCTACTTAAACGTCACGTGTAAGCGTTATCTGGTGTCTCGGGCAATGAATAAGAGAGTATCGAATACCTGTACAGTTTTAAATGTTTATCGTTTTACAAAAATATTTAACCTACAAAGAAACATTGCGTTGTTATTATCATACATAATTACAATAAAATTTCATTGGTTTAGTTGTTTGGTATGCTAGCAGAATTTACAAAATTAAGATGAAATTATCATTAATCGTTGATCAAGGGGATCCAGGGATCTAGGGATCGTCCTTGTTAGTCATGACTTTGCAACATTTAGTAAACCGCTGTTAAAATGTATCGATCGAGCAGTGCAAGTTTAAAATTTTATTTTTATTTTCTTCGTAACGAATTTTGTTTTCATTTATCGGTCAAATTTTTCTGATTAAAATTACCTCAAATAGCACAGCTGTCTGAATTGAATTACATTTGCCCCCATTGTAATCAGAGAAATTTCACTATCAAACGAATCGCGTCAAGAAAAAGTGAAAAAATAAAGAAATTTTAATGCTGCATTGTCCTTCGCCGTGGATGCAACACCGTACATTTAGACTTCTTCGGAACACGCTCGGGCTCTCGTTTCTTTCTTTGTTGTTTGCTTGCCATCCTTCTCTATGGCTGCAGAGGTCAAACGGGGCTCGAGTTTCGCGCGCCAGACAGAGAAAAATACTGTATTCGGATATCGAACGGTGTTTATGGCGACCGGCCCCGTGGATTCTTGCCTTTATTTCGCGTTCCTCCGACGAAGCGATTTCCACACAGCGAGACATTGCCTGCAGAAGGTCGGCGTACCTCTCACCTTCGGACGGGCGACCGTTCCGCAAATAGTCACTAAGGAGCTTACGTAATCGGCGTATGCGCGATTTCCATCGCTGCCTAGCAGATTACAGTGTTCGATCTCTGATCATCCTATGCAACTCGCGCAGAAGCATTTTTTGCGAAACGCCAGAGGCCGCCATAGTCGCGCGGAGGAACGACGAAGCGGACGGAAGACCAGGCGATCGTCTTTCTCGATTTTGGCAGGGGAAATGAAATTATTTAGATACAAAAATTGTCGAACTAATCATTCCATGTACTTAGGACAGAATCCAAACTCTCCAACTTGTACAGGAAATATAATTAATCTCCGACATTATAAGGTCACCTTTCGTATTGTCGATGGCCAAAAATGAAAATTCCCGTGCTAATTTTTTTGCTTTACATTATCGATCCTATTAGAGTTACTTGTATCCAAATGAAGAAATTCCATTAAAAGTTATTTGAAATTAGAAAATTGGAAAAGTTTGTTTTAAGTGTTACCTGAAAGACTTTCTGCCATCTGGAGGTTACTATAGTATACTTTTTTTTGATAGAAATTTTTTGCATTTTGATTAAAATGATTTGCCACACTATTTATTTTTATCGTTATTTTTGACCATCTAACGACTGGTGTAAGCCTGTGAATTTATGATACATGGACAATACTGGATATTAATTTCGAAAAATAATAAATCTTATTCCACATCTTTTGAAATTATTGTATATGGCTAAAACGACCAGACTTTTATGTTTAATATTTTCCCTAAAAGTGCGTTGTTTTTTAAAAAGCATTTAGCATTTTTCGCGTATTTCGATTACAAAAGACGGATCGGTATTCTCTGGAATAGAATCGTTTCGACGAAATCTGTGATTCGTTGCGTCACGGTTTCCGATTTGAATGATCTTTTCCTGAGGTATCTAGCAGGTGTCGGAAGGAAAAGTACGAGCCGGGGCGAGTAACATTCACAGCAAATTTCTCCGCGGTCGATGGTTATTGTTTCGTCAGTATATACGTGCTTTCGTAACGTCACGCCTTATTGCATGGAATGATGGTACTTGCATAGGTATTCAACCAACGCTTATCTATCTATTAACGCCGTAACATCCCGTCTCGAGTACAGATGGAAAATCATTCGCGAAACTACCGAAAGAAAAGCTCTACGTCTTCAAAAAAAAATTTAATCCAAATCTAATTTAGGAAAATGGTTTTCATAACAATTTCGAAGGTAGATAAATATAACACTATGCTTCGTTTTCATTTTTTTATACGTACTATACCTACTATATTATGTTTATTTGTTATTATTATTGTTATATGTATGTAAGTTAACTCAGACTTAGATTCTACAATTAAATACAGGGTGTTCGTGGGAAAAATTTTAATGAGGGATTCTAGAGGCCAAAATAAGACGAAAATCAAGAATACCAATTTGTTAATGGAGACTTCCTTAAAAAGTTATTAACAATTAAATTCAAGAATTTCAAATCTTTCTGGAAAAATTATATTCGGTTGCGGGGGTCAATTACAATCATTTTTGGTGAATAGGCATACCCCCGAAATCTTACTCATTTTCTAGAAAAAAATTCGAGAAGGTGTGAAATTTTTCGACGGAAAAAAAAATTTAAAATAGTTTTGGAAAAATTATTTTCGGTTGCGGGGGTCAATTACAATCACTTTTGGTCATTACTCATACCCCCGAAATCCTAAGCACTTTCGAGAAAAAAATTCAAGAATGTGAAATTTTTCGACGGAAGAAAAAATTTCAAATCGTTCTGGAAAAATTATTTTCGTTTGTGGGGGTCAATTACAATCACTTTTGGTCATTACTCATAACCCCGAAATCTTAAGCACTTTCGAGAAAAAAATTCAAGAATGTGGACAAATTTTTCGACAAAATTAAAAAACTTAACCTTAAACTTAAACAATAAAATACTGTCCTATAGGATTTCCCCAACAACTAAAATATTTTATTTTCAATAGTACATTCTAGTTTACAATAAAATTCATTACTCGGTAATTAAAATGGTATTTTACATAAACAATGAAAAGAGTAATACAAAAAAATTATAACTACCTGAAATAAAATAAAACAAATATTAAGTTACTTCGAAGGTTTAAAACCCGAGAAAGTTACATTACAAATCGCTTTTTATAAATTTTAATTTTAGTTTTTTCTCGATCACGGTAATCACAAACGATATATCTTATAAATAATTTGGACAAATTTTATTCGCGTGGATATTGATTTAAAAAATCCGTGGATGGATTCTAATTAAAAAATAAAACGTAAAGTTGGTTCACGAGTGGATAAAAAATTTTTCACTCGTTATCTCGTGAAAATTTGTCCCTGATAAGTAGTTGTACGAGTCTCCGACTGTGAACTCGATAAAACCCCCATCCGCCATCTTTGTAGGGTTAAATGATAGAAAATACAAACGCGTGCAATGGAAACGAGAGCACAGAACCGTTTTGCAATCTCGTTTCCTTGGTACGGCCGATCGATGCGAAGTACACATTAACCGACGCTCTTTACACTTTGCACATCTGAATTGCTCTTTCGTGACGTAACCCTAATTACATCTTCAGGTATAACGAGGCTACTCCGGGCGATCGTCCCTCTCTTTAAACTCCGGCGCTACTCGAACGCCAAGGAAACGTGTCTTGTCTTCTCTTATCGGTCAATGACGAATATATGGTTCAAAGGCTTCGCCTCGTATTATCACTGTACTTTCTCTTGTCTGAACGTTCCTATTAAGATCCAGTTATGCCACGAATACAATGATGTTATTAACCTGGTAATCAAAGAAGACAAACACTTCAGTTAAACTTCAAAGTGTTATAACTCTTGAACTATTAGATCTAGGACATAACCTTAATACTTGTTTGTGGAAATTAAGAAAAAATGCATGGAATGGTCTAACCAAAACTATAGAATTTAGTCCAAGAAAGCGGATACAGTTGCATTTTTTAGATGCATCAATGCATTAAATATATCAAATTGAGGATATTTTTGAATTGGAAATTTTGAGGGGCTGAATGGTGACCAAATATAAAATTTAAGTTTCTGCTATATTGACAAAGAAATGAGCTTGTTAGGAAAATATTAGTTTGCAATATACTATTCCAATTCAACCTAAATATGCCAGACCTAACCAAGCATCTCGGAAACTATTGAATTCAAATTGAATTCAAATTTCACCGTGCGCCGCCATGTTGTATTTCATTTTATTATTATGGCCTAACCAGAGACAGATTTGAGTCTTCAACGTCTCACAATGACAGTGAAAGAGTATTTTTTACTAAAATTTCTTATTTCTCATTTACAACGTGTTAATATTTACTATTTATTATTTCACATTTTTCCCCTTGGAATTATTCTCAAACTACTGCTTTAAATCCACCTTTGGGTCTGCTATCGTCTCCAAATCGTTTCAAAATAGCAATTGGCGTCCGAATTTGTATAATATTAAACGTAATGGACGCTGAATTACATCGACGTTACATTGTCGTGTCCTGCACTGGATCCATCGTTAACCTCAAAAGAATTCCTATTCGATGCGTTCGTTTCGCGGCCATTTTGAAATTGCTAGCCTGACGGTTAATCGAAGATAAAACGAATTTGTAGAAACGGTCGAAAGACTGGACGGGGGACCATTTTGCTAATACGAGCGCTATAGTTCTTCCAACGAAGATCGTGGGAAAGGACGAAATACTTCTCGGGTTTCGTTCTGTATTTATTTACGCACGTTCAGTTTCGTTTCGACTTTCACACTCGAGTCTGTTCGCCGAGCAAAGTCACTAAATGTAAAGAAGAAAGAAAAGACGAAAATATCGATCGTGCCTTTATCTTCAGTTAGCCAACAACAGTGTATCTTTTGTGTATAAATGGTGGCTTGATTTAAGGTTACTTGAACGCACGAATATTATTTTGTAGCAATTTATGTTGAATTTGATTAATGTAATATAATGAATATTTTAATTAATAGAAAAATCGAATTTCAACGTAACCATCGACACCGACGACTTTTAATAAAAATAATTTTATTTCAAATAAAAGTTTCTTGAAATTGAATTTTTTTTTCGACGATCGATACAAATACAATCGATTTATATAATTAATAGGGTTTTCGTCTTGTTTCAGTTTCTCCAGAATCTGGGAAAGGTGGACAAAACAGCGGACGACATATTCGACGAGCATCTGCAAAACTTCATGAGACAGCAGAATGCCGCCAACAGGCTGCAAAAGGAGTTCAACAATTACATCAGGTGTGTTCGAGGTGAGTCGATCTGAATACAAGCGAATAACAGCGACGTATTTGTTACGTTCCAAGATAAAATTCTTAAAGGAACTAACAATAGGTGTCATTCCAAACAGAAAAGTTCATTTGTTAGGTTAGATAACTACGAGAACCCATATTTCATGTTTATTACTTTATTTTACAAATTAGAAGTAGAGAACACAATTGTTGATGACTCGTATTAAAACATATTTTTAAAAAACCAAGCACAGTAAAATAACCAAAATCTGAAAAATTCTTCGATTTTTGATTAAATTTCAAGAGTATGGTTGAAATCATAACAAACTTTTTTTAATTGAAAATCAATCTATTTATTGAATATAATTGATTGAAACTTAAGTATATTTAAATAAAATATAATTTAAATAAATAAAAAGTCGAACTATGTTATTTCGTTACTGACTACACCAATTGTAAATTGTGTAATTTTATCCTGATTGTACAACTTCTGTTCAGTCGAATTCGTTGACAAAATGGCGATAAACAACTCAAATAAGTCACGACCAACGCAAAGAAACGTGATAAAAAACAATTGACGTTTCAAGGCAGATACAGGACGAAGCACTTTGAACGTCCATAAAGTTTCTTTCTCTAGTAATGGCGTAGATAAACAGTAACTTCGAAACAAGTTTATCTTGTTCATACAAAAATAAATACTTGACATTCGTTCCCAAGAAACTAGTAGCAAATTACATACTTCGTTTGCGACGATATTAGTAAGTTGTTTTGCCATTTTCGCTACCAACTTCAAGATCAAATTTATTATTAATCGCCTAACTATTTATCTATTACATTCATTCGTAAACTGTTGATGTGATCTTACAATTTGTTATTTTTCAAAATTAGTAAACAATTCCTTTCTTTTTCACCGTAAATGACTTAATATTTTTCTACGACACTACAATACACTACACTACTACAATAAAAAAATATCTAAAATTGTGTTCGGTCACCCCTGATTCCAGAGGCCAAAATAAGACGAAAATCAAGAATACCAATTTGTTGATGGAGACTTCGTTAAAAAGTTATTAACAATTAAATTCAAAGACTTCAAATCGTTCTGGAAAAATTATTTTCAATTACGGGGGTCAATTGCAATCATTTTTGGTGAATACACATACCTCCGAAATCCTATCCATTTTCGAGAAAAAAATCGGTTAGGTGCTGAAACTTTTCGGCGAAAAAAAAGTTGTCAAATCGTTCTAAAAAAATTATTGTCGGTTGCGGGGGTCAATTACAATCATTTTTAGTCATTACATATACCCCCAAAATCCTACGCACTTTCGGGAAAAAAATTCGTGAAGGTGTGAAATTTTACGACGAAAAAAAAAAATTTCAAATCCTCCTGGAAAAATTATTTTCGGCTGCGGGGGTCAATTACAATCATTTTTGGTCATTACACGTACCCCCGAAATTCTACGCACTTTCGAGAAAAAAATTCAATACGGGTGGAACTTTACTGAAATTATTAAAATTTGTTTAGATTGTATAATCATGTTGTGGGATCGGGAAGATAATGACTCCGCCCTGTTCCGTTCCGCACAATTTTATTGTTGCTGTCGTACAACGACGTGACTCGTGGTGCGGGTTACGCTCGACTCTCTGGTACGATCAGCACCGTACCAAGAGGCCTTCAAAAACAAAAGACGGTCAGAGACGACGACAACGGCTTTTCGGCTCACGCGGCTCTGGTCGTCTCGTGTGCAACCATCGTCTCGTGTGCAACCATACATTGTAGCGGCTTCGAACGGCTAAGGCGTATGTGGTGCCTTGGCCGCCACACTACCCCCCTGCCAGTAATTGGCACAATTACGAAAAATTGACCGACTACATTACCACTACCATTTACTCTATTATATAAAATACGTTATCCTAACTAAGATTTACATTACAGTATTTGAACACAGTTGAAAAAAAAAAAGGAATTTACATGGAGTTTAATATATAATACGTAATACCTAAAAATACATGAAAGTACATAAAAGTGATGGAAAAAAATAAATGGTATATGATACTTATTATAATAATGCGCAAGCCTTAAGTACTACCGCGTAATTTGAAATCGCTCGGGAAAACGTACGCGTCTACCTGAACGCGTGACACGTTGCTGTATAACCGGCGCATTGTCAGGTACGTTTGTTTGTGTGACCGGCTGATTTTCTATGCTCACGGGATCCGGTCTGTTTTCTGCTAGCATATAAGCAGGCTTTAGCCTTTCAATTGATATATTTATTTCCTTACCTCTAATGTTTATTGTAAATGTTTTTTCGCCTCGGCGCACTACGGCGTATGGACCTTCATAAGCGGGTTGTAAAATAGTTTTGGCTGAATCTGTTCGGATGAAAACATGTGTTGAACTGCTAAGATCTTTGAAAACGAATGTACGATTAACGGAATGGCGTGATGCATTAGAGGGACTCAATTTAGAAAAATGGTTGCGTAGTCTATTAGTAAAATCGGAAGCATTTTCTGTGCCTTCCGCTGAATGCGAAGACAAGAACTCTCCCGGTAATCTTAATGGCTCGCCATAAACTAATTCCGCTGAGGTAGCGCCGAGGTCTTCTTTCCAGGCGGAACGAATACCGAGTAGAACCGTCGGAAGTATTTCTGTCCACTTGTCGGATCCGTGGCACCTTATAGCCGACTTGAGCTGTCGGTGAAAACGCTCTACCATCCCATTGGCCGCTGGGTGATACGCCGTTGTGCGAAGGCGTGTGGATCCAATTAAATTGTTCAGCGCAAAAAATAATTTGGATTCGAACTGCCTACCCTGATCGGTGGTAATCCGTACGGGAGCACCAAACCGCGCTACCCAACCGTCATAAAAGGTTCGAGCTACGGTTTGGGCCTCCTGATCGACCATGGGGAAGGCTTCCGGCCACCGCGTATATCTGTCTACACAGGTCAGACAATACCTGAAACCTTCGGACACCGGTAAAATTACTATGTCTAAATGAATGTGTTCGAATCGCGCAGAAGGTTTAACAAATGTAGCCAATGGTGCAGTCACATGACGGGAAATTTTTGATCTTTGGCACGGTATACAGCAACGTGTCCACGTGCGAACATCTCTTTTAATCGACGGCCAAACATAACGTTGCGTTATGAGCTTGATCGTCGCGTTAATACCTGGATGTGATAATACATGTAACATATTAAAAACTGCGCGTCGGAAAGGAGGGGTGACATAAGGTCTTACATTCTTAGTCGAAATATCGCAAAAAATTTCGGAACACGTGCCAGGCAACAAGACTTTGCGTAATTGCAGGCTAGATTCGCTATTCAACAACCGCTGCAACTCCTCATCCTGGGCTTGCGATTTTGCCAATTCTTCGAAATTAATCGAGTGGTTAACCGTTTCCACTCTGGACAGTGCATCGGCAACGACGTTGTCTTTACCGGAAATATGTTGAATATCTGTAGAGAATTGCGCAATGTAATCTAGGTATCGGAATTGTCGAGGAGAGCATTTATCTAATTTCTGTTTGAAAGCGAAAGTTATGGGTTTATGGTCTGTAAAAATCGTGAAATGTCTGCCTTCGAGCATATGTTTGAAATGTTTTATTGCTAAATAGATAGAAAGTAGTTCCCGGTCGTAAGCTGAATACTTCTTTTCGGCAGATCCTAATTTCTTAGAAAAGAATGCTAATGGTTGTCGTTCGTTGCCGACGTACTGATGTAAAACAGCTCCTACGGTGTAATCAGAAGCATCGCAGGTAACCGACAATGGAGCGTTGACCGCAGGATGAGAAAGCAGGGTTGCGTTTGCTAAACTATTTTTGGTATTTTCGAAAGCCTGACGCGCTTCCGAAGTCCAGGCTATCGGGGTCTTGCCCTTTAAATTGCCGGCTAGAAGGTCGTTCAAGGGTGCTTGAAAGCGAGCGGCATCTGGGATAAAACGGCGGTAAAAATTAAGCATTCCCAAGTACTGCCTCAAATCCTTCGCGTTTTTCGGAAGGGGAAATGACTTTATGGCTTGTACCTTGCCGGGCAAAGGTTGAGTGCCGCTTTCATTTACCCGATAGCCTAGAAATTTAACTTCTTCCTGTCCGAACGTGCATTTATTCGGATTAACAACAATGCCATAATCTTTTAATCGTTTAAATAATAATTCTAAATGGCGCAGGTGATCGGCTTGGGATTCTGAGGCGACCAAAATGTCGTCTATATACGCGTAACAAAAATCGAAACCGCGTAAAATTTCGTCGATAAAGCGCTGAAATGTTTGCGCGGCATTTCGTAACCCGAACGACATGTACGGGAATTCAAAAAGCCCGAACGGCGTTGTAATGGCCGTTTTTCCGACGTCTTCCGACGCAACCGGAATCTGATTATAAGCTCGGACGAGATCTATTGTGGAAAATACCTTTTTGCCACTCAGTTGTTGCGCAAAATCCTCAATGTGACGCACGGGGTATCGGTCGGGAATTGTCCGTGCGTTTAACGCTCTATAGTCACCGCAAGGCCTCCAAGCTTCTTCGCCCTTCTTCGGAACCATATGAAGGGGTGCTGACCACGCGCTCTTCGAAGGACAAGCGATGCCCATCTTCACCATCGCGTCGAACTCCTTCTGGGCAGCCCTGAGCCGGTCCGGTGCAAGCCGCCGCGGCTTGCTGGAAACGGGTGGTCCAGGGGTTGTCTCGATGTAATGCACCGTTTGGTGCGTAGTCCTCATCGGGGTGCCGCTAGGCCGTGTAAGTTCCGGCATCTGCATCAGGAGCTGGTGGTAAACGGTAGTCCCTGCTACTGTCTTCACCGACGGCGTTTCATCCTCGGCTCGTGTTCCGCGGACCGTTAACGACGTGGTCCGATCGACGAGGCGACGATTGCGGATGTCCACCATAAGATCGAAGTGATCGAGAAAGTCTACCCCGATTATGGGTTTTGTAACATCCGCAACCACGAATCGCCACACGAAATCCCGTCGTAGGCCGAGGTGCAGGTTTAACGACACTGTCCCGTAGGTGTTAATTACACTCCCATTCGCCGCCGCCAGCTGGTACTCCGATCTTTCTCGCAATCCGCCTAGCAGGCGGCGCGGAAAAACGCACAAATCGGCCCCGGTATCCACTAAAAATTCCGTCTTCGAGCTGTTGTCTAAGATGAAGAGGCGGCGTGATGCTGGATTTGTGTCGCTGGCCGCCATCAACGACTCCCCAGGTCGTTTCCCTGATCCGTGGCGTTCCAATTGCACGGTGCAACGCACCTCTGCGCGGCCGGACCGAACCGCCAATGGTACCAGCATTTCCCTTGATGGTCCATTTGTCCTCCCGCGGGCCGCTCTCGCGATCGCGATAGAGATCGTCTGCGGTAGCGCGAGTTTGGATGATTTCGGTGGGTCCACCTGCGACGGGAAGATTGCCCCTGGTCCACCAAGGATTCACGGATGGCAGAAATTTCCTGCCTCAAGGAAAGAGCCAATTGTGACATCTTAATGTTTAACATGGCCTCGATGCTCGGGCCCGGCGGGGGTATTTGGCAGGATGCAGATACGCCCGTAATCGCGGCCTCCGTGACGTGTACCCGCGGTGTCATCGTATCCGCAACAGCGTCTGCCAACTCTGCCACCTTATCCAGCGGGGTGTCCCGCTGCGTGGCTAAAATCACCTGCATATTAGCAGGTAGTCGGCCCATCCAAAGCGTCCGCAATACACCGTCCGAAAAAGCCGTACCGGCCAATCCGCGCAGGTGACGAAGAAATTGAGACGGTTTTCTGTCCCCGATTTCCTCGTGTTCCAATAACCGCCGCGTTTTCTGTTCCTGCGACGCACTAAGCCGGCGAATGAACTCATTTTTTAGCGTCGTGTACGGATCCGCGGCCGGGGGATTCATGATAATGTCTCTTACTTCCGCGGCGTGTCGCGCACTTAACGCGCCGAGAATGTACCCGAATTTCGTGGTCTCCGACGTTACATTGGATACCTCAAAACTTCTCTCTACCATTGAAAACCACATCTCCGGGTCTCCCGGACAAAACTCGGGTATCCGTACAGCGACGCGATCAACTGCCAACGGCACACCCGCGGATGTCCCTGCGTTAACGTTAGGGTCAGTCATTTTACCAGTCTTGGTCACAAAAGATTAATTTCACCGCACACACACACCGCGCCTACTATTTGTCAGACCGTGTCCTTTCCTTATGTTCTTAACACTATACACTTATTTCTCTACACTAACTAATATTGTCCGTATACAAAAAATGTCCAAATTTTCTTAAAAAAACTTTACTTGCGCGGCGAGATCACGTCGGGGTCACCAATGTGGAATCGGGAAGATAATGACTCCGCCCTGTTCCGTTCCGCACAATTTTATTGTTGCTGTCGTACAACGACGTGACTCGTGGTGCGGGTTACGCTCGACTCTCTGGTACGATCAGCACCGTACCAAGAGGCCTTCAAAAACAAAAGACGGTCAGAGACGACGACAACGGCTTTTCGGCTCACGCGGCTCTGGTCGTCTCGTGTGCAACCATCGTCTCGTGTGCAACCATACATTGTAGCGGCTTCGAACGGCTAAGGCGTATGTGGTGCCTTGGCCGCCACAATGTAATGATATTTGCATATTAACATAACTAACCAAAGAAACGTGTTTGCAAATTCTGGTGCATTTTATTTTGTAAATACTTACCTAATAGAGGAGTATTGAGTATTGTATTTAATAGAGTGAAATGATGTAAAATTGTAAAATCGGTGAAACGTCATTCTTTTGTTAATTAATTTTAATATAACGTGTGCAGTCTCATAATTACTTAAGCGATTTAAGAGTGACGATCCGTAGAACGTGACAATAGCTAGTAATAATCGCATTACCAAGCATGTATAACGACGCGTGCATCATTTGATATCGTTTCGTATTTCATACACGAATTATATCATTGTCGCTATCAAATTACATAAACTCGAACGCGGCAGGGCCTATTATACTTTCACTGTATTTATGTATCCATTTCTGTTGGAATACTCGGAACAAATTATCCGAAAAGTCGACTAATTCGAACGGTTTAAATCGAAATTTATTTCCACTCGCCATCTAGAAATTAAAATATTTGTAAATTATCCAATAAGGGTTTTGTAATACTGGACAATAGGAACACACAATGGAGGTTAATTTTTAAAAAGAGAACAGAATTTTCTCTACAATCCGGAAGGCGAAATAATTGTAGGAAATTGTGTATAAATAAAATTGTGATTTCTTTTGTGTATCATGCTTCGCCATCTAGTAGAAGTTGTATACCAATGGGCGGCCATATTGCTTTCTCTCATTGACCGACGCAGACGATTACAGTCAAATTGAACGAAGAAACTAGTCCTTTATGAAATAAATTTATTTCTTTGTTATATAGCGGAAATTATTTTTGTTTAATATTTACAAACGCCAACAAATAAATTTTCAATGCAGGAACAGAAAAAAAATAAGTAAATTTTCCTAAAAATCACTTATAGGTTAAGTTTTTTTCCCTCCCCAAATAACACACAGTCTGAATGTATTCTAATAATTTCTAATAGTGCAGAATTTTATTTAACCATTGTATCAAATTTCGAATTAGTTTAATAGTAAGAGAATTGTTTTTGCATTGTAAATTCTAACGATCTTTAGCAAAAACATCTTGCTATTTTATTTCAGTCTCCTTCGAATATGTGGTTAGGGGGTCCATTGTTAGATAGTATATGATACGTTCTTGTTTTCAGCTTTTTAAATCACGTGTATCGTCGACGAAAAGTAAGTGGTTCTTAACTTTTGAGATATTATTCAAACACATGCGTATAATTTGAAGAAGTTAATTAATCTTTCATTTTCAAGTTAAGTGCTTTCATTTTCAGTAATTATAAAGATTCGAACATTTCATTTTTAAGTCGTTTATTTCTTACATTAAATGTTCCTATTTTTAACGATTATTAAAACTAAAACATTTTATTTTCAAATTAAATATTTTTATATTTAACGATTAGAGTGATCAAACGTTTCATTTTTATAACGTTCAATTTTTAAATAAATGTTTACAGCGGTGCAAGCGGCCTCGAAGACCCTGATGGACTCTTTGAATGAGATCTATGAAAGTCAGTGGACTGGCCATGATCTACTGTACGTGCAAGCTCAAAATCTAGATATGTTGTGGCAAGACTTCACTCATAAACTTGCGGATCAAGTTCTCGTGCCTCTCAACACATATCAAAGCCAATTTCCAGAGATGAGGGTACATCTTACAATCTGTATTATTTAAATTCCCTTTCATTTTTTTAACTCTGCTCATCAAAATTATTTTGTCCGGACAACCCCGGGAAAAATTTTAATGGGAGAATCTAGAGACCAAAATAAGACAAAAATCAAGAATACCAATTTGTTGATCGAGGCTTCGTTAAAAAGTTATTAACGTTTAAAATTCCGCTTGTGAGACTGCGTGCGCGCTATAACGAAATTTTAAACGTTAATAACTTTTTAACGAAGCCTCCATCAACAAATTAGTATTCTTGATTTTCGTCTTATTTTGGTCTCCAGAATCCCCCATTAAAATTTTTCCCATGGTTACCCGAACACCCTGTATAAAATAATTTATCACTGTAGAATAACTTGGAACAACTGATAAATTGCTGTAGCATTTTTTAATCGTATCATATTTATTTTATTATCTGTTTCAATAACTTTTTTAACAAACGAAAATTAGAAGTCAATTTTAATATATCTTGAAAAATTATTGGGAACTAGAACAGTGGTTCTTAAATTTTTTTTACGGTTTATAAAATATTTATAAAATATTAGTTAAATCAGTTTTCCATATCTGTGTTCCACGAAATTTTTCCAAAAATTCTCCACTAAATAAGAATTTATACTAAACAAGGATTCCAGTGGTTCTGTAGTATTTTTTCTAAAGAAATTGATTTAGATACAAGAACCTAACCTCATTTTTGTAGCTTTATTCCGACCAACGTATTTAAATAAAAAGAACAATGAAGAAAGTTGAAACAAGATTCATAAGCAAAGTTTAAAATAGAAAATGAAAAATTGGTCTTAAAAACAAAAAAATGGTAAAAATATATTTAATGTCGTTTGTTAAATGTTTGCTACCATTACCTATTATTGTATCACAATTTTCGTTAACTATTGCCCTTACTGTTATTGATTTAAACAAAACACAATAAGAGGTTAGTAATGGGGAGCACTTGCCTTGACACGAACGTGCATAAACGGCAGAATTCACGGAAAATCGTCCGATGCGAATTTACAGAAAAAAATCGACAAGCGTGGGCGGAAGCTCGTGGATTACGACAGTCAGAGGCACAACTTCCAATCGTTGCAGTGTAATCCGAGGAAACGGGACGAGCTTAAAGTTTCTCGGGGAAAAGAATTACTGGAGGAGGCTAAGCGTACATACGAACAACTTAACTCGGAACTCCATGACGAACTACCGGCCCTGTACGATTCGCGTGTTCTATTCCTCGTCACTAATTTGCAAACTTTGTTCGCCGCTGAACAAGTGTTCCACACCGAAAGCGCAAAGGTACGTACGTACGATGATACGTTTCTGTTCAGGGGCATCCCTAGGGGGGGCGCTAAAGGCCCCCTCTTAGCAGAGTTGTACAAAATTGTAATTAAAAAAAATGCAATTGAAGTATAATAATGAAAAGAATGTAATTAAATTACAATATAGTTGAATTACAATTAATAACTCCTAACTCGTAACTCCTGTATAAAATTTTACAATTTTATTTAAAATTTGACGCATGAAAGTCCCCATGAATTTAGAGAGATTTACAGTTCGAACATATGTATACATAACTTTCTCCCGGTTAACTGTAATTCCGTTATTTTCTATTTCAGGTATATTCTGAGTTAGAGGCAATCGTAGATAAATTGGCCAATGAAAGTCAAAGAGGATCGTATACACTGAAGAAAAACACGGCACCACAATCTCCAAAATCGCCAAATGCCAACTCATCATCGTAAGTATACTGTGAGATACGCTATAAATCGAGCGACGAAAAGAGAATGCCAACCGATTTTTACTCGTTTCAGTATAATAATGAACACGCAGCCAGCCCAGAATAATATATCGCCAGGTAAATATCCAACCTTTGTATCGACTTTTTGCATTTGACTCGTTTGTGAATACTAATATCCCTTGTGCATGCGTGTAACGTAGCCGTGCCACATAAGAAGTTGCCGAATACATAATTATGTGGCTAAACGTTTAGTTTTGAGTGAGCTTTATTGCGTGTTACAGCTGTGGAGGATTCTGCTCCGGCAGCGAGAGACACGTCGCCGACTACTCAATTAAACGGCAATGCTAACAGCAATGCTAACAGCAATGCTAACAGCAATGATAATTCCCTCAATAATCAGGATGAGTCTCCGCAAAGCACAGTCGCGGCCTCTAAACGAGTGGAAGAGTTGTACGATATTCCAGTTGGTAAGTATGATGCTGTGTAGGAGTAAATGTCATCGGATTGCGCGACTGGCAAAGATTAACGTCGCCGCGCAGGTTCGTCTTAACGCGTAGGCCCCACGTACACGGGAGGGGGGGGCTACAACAAACTAGTTTGTCGACAAGAACGGGAATACTAGTTTGGTATTAAGTCTACAAATTAATCCTCATCCCCTACACTGTAACATTTATTCAAATTGAATTTTTTTTCTCTCGAAATCATAAAGAGTAATGGTCGACCATAGGGGAACCCCCAAGCTCGCCATGCGGTCGCTGGGGAATTCTTGTGCTTGTTGTATCACTATTACATAATCTCAAAAAAATAGTATAGTGAGGCAATGTATGCTTTTCGCATTTCAATTGAAAAAAAAATGTCACCGAGGCAAAAAGGAATTGATTTGTTCAGTTTTGAGGAAAAACATTGGTATCTTGTGACACACGTTAAAGGTAGTATTACAGATTTTAATATTTTGGACGAACAAAATTGAAGATAAGTTACAACTAGACGAAGCTGTTCAAACAGAATTTTGTGATAAGTGCAAGTAAACATATGTTTAATTTTATCAATTTTCTATGTTTTTGTTCCTGTAAGTGTTTTTATGTACGAGACCTCGTGTATGGTTCTGCCCTGGGGGCCTACAATTCTGTTAAGACGGTCCTGTAATCACAGTTGAAAGTTTTTAAAGAAACAGTTTGAAATCGAGGGGTTCTTCTATATGTGTAATTCGTGTACATGTTATTTTGTTATCAAACTAATCGTTACTAAATCTAAACAATACAGAGTACAATTTGGAGTGTTTTGTATACGTTCAGGCTGAAAGTTACTGCTTAAATGCACAAGGAAATCTCCGTTATTCGTAAGGGTACAAGAAAATGATTCAGGAACATTCGGTTCGAAGGAATACGTATTATAATATAATAGGAATCGTTTCTTTCTCGAGGTCATCTCTTTAATGGAACATTCCAGTCTAGGTGTCAATTTTGTACGTGTTCTTTAGAATTACAAAAAAGGAGAAACTATGAGACTTCTGCATCAAATTTCGGAGAATGATTTTGGCTTATATTTAAAAAGTACACATAATTTTATTCGTGTAACATTTAAAATTGTTGAAGATACAGTGTTACTTCAATGTCCTAGTGTGTCATTCTTTCAGATAATGAAATAAAAATACCCTCTTCAAATGAGACTACATATTTTTATCATATTATAATAGATGAGGTTAAGGCACATACAATAATCTGTGATAGCAAGACCTTAAAATGATCTTGAGTAGAAAGAAAGTGTTTGATCCCTTCATTGAAGCATACTGTAGCTTAAAACCATCTCTTTTGTGTGTTTACGTGACAGAGGGTAAACAAATTGAGACTAAATTTCATTTTAATCCCTCAGACTAGGGTCACACAACCGTCGAAACAATGTGTGTTTCTATGTTCTTCCTGGTTTTGCAATTGAAAACAACGCAGACAGACAAGACCAGCGTTCTTATGTCTGTCTTGGTTGTTTTTAATTCTAAGACAAGGAAAAACATAAAAACGCTCTATTGTTCTGTGCAACGAATTGTGCTAGAAAGTTGTGTGCTTTGAAATGCCCCATGATACTAGTTATGGTGAATGTACGGTAACAATTGCAGATTAAGGTGTTCCCTAAGATCGCCAAGGATTAAAGTAGTATCTATCATCTCGAAAAAGATGACCTTAAGAAAAAAATGTTTTACATCATAATATGTGTTCCTTCAAACCGAACAATTCGTATCTTAGATATTTTCTTGTACCCCTAAAATTAACGAAGGTATCGCTTTGTAACAGAATTACTGAGACACCTTGTATGCCGTGAAGTTTATTCGCTATAACTAAAATAACAGGATAACTATTTTCTAGCGAGTAACATATATTTCACAGCTCTTTACATCGGTAAGCATGGATAGAATATCTATCTGTAGTAATTTTTATATTATAGTCCGTTGGGAATAAACCGATTCTCCAAATTATTACTCGAAACACCGTAACACTAGCAGACACCAAACATAATACTGTATATTGTGACGATAAGAGTATGTTGCCTGCCCATTTATGCATGGTCTTGCTGAAACATTGAAAACATATTAATTCTGACTCTCGGTTATATCTATATCAAAATATTGTATTAAATTTTTAATAATTCGATCTAATTTGCACAACGATGAAAGTCAGATTTTACACAGAACTGCGTATATCAGTGGTCCATGACTAATGAGGCGGATTGAATTATTTTAGAGGTGGAATATGAAAATGGTACCAATTTCTCTGTAGGGGCAACGACTGTCAACTTGCCACCTGGGGTTTTATATAGAGTCAAGGCTACTTACAAATATAGATGCGAAGATGCGGACGAATTATCATTCGACGTCGGTGATATTATTCGCGTAGTGGAGTATGACGATCCGGAAGAGCAGGTTTGTACTTTACTTTTACCGAAACTTAACTTACAGAGGAAGCTTAACAAACTTGATTGGCAGTCTTCTTCGATAGGTTGTAACAATAATCATTATAATTGTAATAACATTGTTGCTTCAGGAACAGGGTTGGTTAATGGGTATTAAGGAGGGTACTGATGAAAAGGGTATGTTCCCTGCGAATTTCACAAAGCCGCTGTGAGAGCTTTGCCGGAATCAGCTATTACACTCCAATGCTCACTGAAACGGCGTATTCTGCTTTAAGAATAGTTTCAATATTAAAAGTGAGAGTCACAACGGTCATTCGAGGTATTATATATAGAAAAGAAATAAGTAATGAATACACAATGAGGGGCTATGGGAAGGGAAAAGGGGGTGTGATAAGATAGTTACGCTGGAGGGTACTGTGGAAAAAAAAAGTAATCACCCCAAAGTGCCTTAACCCAGCCACTGTCTGTGCCAACATTCATTGTCTGTAATATGGGATCTCTCATATCCAATGTACGAATACACATCATTAATAATCGAACGAAATATTTAAGTAATTAAATAATATATTGTAATACATCATGCAATACTATAATATAAAAAAATCTATATATTAAATTAATATTATTTTATGAAATTGTACATAGAAATATACATTTTAAGAATATTTTATGGAATAACATCGTGGCCACTGAAATTATCATTAAGAACTAATGTAACGATTAAGACGCAATACCCTATTTTTTTTTTTTTTTTTTTTTTGACAAGAGATTATTCGAATCTTGGAAATCCAATTACAGATCTGCATTCATATATTAGGATTTTATGATCTTTACTTATAGGACAAGGAAAATTACGATTAGAATCCCGATAAGGATATTAATATAGACGATATGCCAAATTTTAAACGCAGTTTATTATATAATTAAACTTCAATACATCCGTATATCGAACCTAAACATGTATAAATAATAAAAAATGTTAACCTAAGAATTTTCTATATAATTCTATTAACAGGAGTATTATCGTCAACGATATATATATACGAAAGTTTGTTCTCAGAATTTATTTACGTTTTTTTTTTTTTTCTTTTCTAAATAAAAATGTAAACAAGTATTTTTCTGATACGCGTACATAGGAGATCAAATGATGATCGATTAGGGTACCTTTACTGCCGTTATAATCCTGTTCTTTAGCAGAGTAAAATTAGTGTCATCCAACGAAGAAAATTTTTAGCGTTAATAAATACTCGTTAGATAGATTTCTTGGAGAATATCTTACACCAAATCTTGTATAACAAATAGTGCTACCGTAACGTACGATTACAAATGTAGTACAAGTCTACCAATTTTCAGCTTCCACTAAATCGTGTGTCCTTTTATTTTATTATATCGATCAGCGACATACAGAATGTAGGAAAGTTGGATTGTTTATTTTATATAAATGAAAAGTTTTATGGTTGAAAGATTGATCCATTGTCACACTAATAATTAACCCCATGTACGAATTAAAACTGTAGGGAGATAAACGTGCTCGTTTGCGAAGCATTACAGACGCATGATGTGAAAACACACTACGTTGAGATATTTTACAATTATACGATATAATTATATGATATTCATAATGATATCGAATATCATACCTATATGATATTCATAATGATAATAAACGGACGTACATTTATGTTGTATGAAGTGGACCAACAAAAAGCCAGGTGAAAAATAAAAAAAATATTTAAATAACATTAGTAGAAGAAAAAAAAAGTGTCGATACACTTTGTTAAGCGTAAAGAGAATTTACATACATACGATATACGAGTTACGGTGCGATATTAAATTCAGTTTGCAAGGAATCGAGAATTCGGTAATAATATTATTGTAACGCGATGCATCATGCTTCACTTCGATATTGCGAGGTTTTTATATAATCCGAACGAATACACATTCCATTGATATTCAAATAAATATTTAGTCCGAAAAAAAGAAAAGTTTTCGATAATCAAAAGAAGACTAATTTGTATCAATGTTTTTTTCTATTGATCGTGTCGAGCCCCCTAATTATGTTACATTATAATAAAAGCTACAGAGACGGAAAGTGAAGCATGAAAGTTGCTTCTTTGTTCGAGATCTATACGATCGTTCTGATTCATCCATTCAGTATGTTTGGAAGTACAGTTCCAGGAATTTTTATGTAACCGATGTGCGAATGTGCCAATATGATGCAGTATTCTATGTACCGATAATGTGATGTCTTTAACGACACTACTGTGTCACAAATTAAATGCAATTGTTAGTAACTATCTAGAACAACGGCAACTATTTTAATTACAGAGAAATGAAAATTTTAGTCTATCGAAAGCAAATATGTATCTCAAATGAGCAGTAATGCGAGTAACGGTAATTACTGGAAAAAGTAGATCTATTAATGGTATCGATACGATAAATTGTTCAATTTCTTGGGGAAATAAGCAAATGCATTTAACTTATTTAAAGAAGATAAGCAGTAAACGAATACATTGTCGTTTTCAGACTTTTAAAAGAAAACTTACAAATTCCAAATTTGATTATAATGTTGTCTGCAAATAAATGTATACGTTACAACGACACAAATTGTAATCAAAACGTCGAATCGTAAAAATGTCTCGAGTCTTCTATTTTACTATAAAATGTTTTTACTTGTATGTATGGTTACTTGTAAGTATTCTTTTAAATTTGTTATTTAGAATGAAATTCGTCACTTGTAGAAATACGAATTGATCGCTGCTTGTCTTCTTTATGTTGTATTTATTTATTGATATAACATACAAGCAACAACCATCGACGTTAATTAGAATTTTCTAATTCACCCAAGTAATAAGTAGTGAGGTCTGAATTTAGTGTAGCAGTGGAGCAATCAATTGTTATATCATTTGTCATTTTTATGCCTTGTTGTTTTATTTTACTGAAACGATCAGTCATATCTTCATAACCTTAATATAAACTGTAATACCTATATACATTTATCGCTTTAATTGTCCTTTTAAATCGACGACGATTATAATAAACAATTACTGGTTTGTAGTATAAGTGATTATGATTTAAAAAATGTGTTTTGTTTAATAGCAACCTGGAAAAATACCTATCCCCACATTAACCCCTCATTTTGTAAATTGTAGTCTATGGAGAAATTTTATAACGAAGAAAACAGCCAAAGTAAACAATGTAAACAGCAAGAAAACTATGTCACGACTTGACGAACAAAAATATTACACACGATGGGAGAATTCTACTTTACACAAATCTTGCTCTTACTACTGGACACCAACACTGAAAGATGAATTATCAACGTCTCTAGTTCCAATAAAACAACGTCATGAACCTTTAAAAGAGAGTTCTATGAAATACTGTTTGTGTGGTGAACAATTTTCCAGAAGAAAGTTGTCGAGTTCATCGTACGAATCTCAAGATGTTAAGGCAATGTTTTAACTTAACATATTGTTGATAAAATGCGTAGAAAGGTCTGTAAAACCTTTCAACAATTGGTATGTATCATTTATAGATATTAAAGTGTTTAAATTGTCAGATACATCAAGATATACAAAAGAGTTTGGAATTGCGCTTAGCAGAGACCCAAGTAAAAGAAGCCTTAGCGGAGGATAAGCAAACAGCTTTGATGCAACATTTAGATTTAACTACTGCTGCTCTTGAAGCTTTGGTTCACTATGGACAATCTTTGCAAGTATCTCAATCAGCTGTACATAGAGTATGTAACGTTAGTCATTGGTTGATACTTCCTCAAACTTGTTCGACAAACCTGAGTCGATGCATTTAATAATACAGCTACAACAGGTATATCAAGATTTCATTCTCTGACATTAAATATTAATGTTGATACATCTTTTCTTTATTTAATATATTATGTGTAACAGTTGGAAAATCAAAGCAAAATAAGTTTAGCGTCTTAAAAGATTTAGTGGAACATTGTTCCAAAGATATAGTGCTTTCCAAATATTTGTACGGGCTAATGAATGAGAACTATACGAAGAAGAAAGACTTCTATATAGTGACAAAGAATTTTAGAACAGATAACACTGTTTTAAATGACTATCAACAAAGTAGACATATGTTAGATTTGGAATTGCCAAAAGCAATAAACACATATGATGTTGTTTGTAAAAACTTGTTTAGTTTCATTTATTGTTGGGTATAAACATTAACTATAATATTGTAGATAGTTGACAGCGGTCGAAGAAGGTCTCAAGAAATTTAGGGAATTTTAGAATGACACAAATGATAACGAAATTGTAACATTGTTTAGGTTGATCGGAGAAAAGCTTTGCAAAGATGATTCAAATTCATAGGATCACCTTTTGTCAAAATTCGATATATGCCAAAAATGTAAGATACATTGTATCCATGAGAAATGATGCAAAAAAGAAAACTCCATTGATAGTATAGTAATAGTTCTCAATCTATGAAATGCAGTATATACAAATTATGGACTTCACGAAGCCATATACTATGGCTTTAATCCTGTTAACAAACGAGCCAAGGTCTGACCATGTCAATGACATCTAGATTGTAAGGATATACTCCACATATTAACATTCTCTGTTATGTGTGTAAAGCTATTTTTTTTATTTTATATAATAACTGTATTGATTTTCTAAATTTTACGTTGTTAATAATAATGCTCAAATACTAGTTTTGTTAGTTTTCGTGCAAAATTTATGTAAGTTTATGATGTCTTAGAAATATATGCAATTAATACCAATCTAATACTAAATTTTGTTAATAAAGTTCTTATTCATACATGAATTTTGGAGAAAACTATTAGCTACTGGAAAAGATTCGTGCAGATTTATACTATAAACTTAAAAGTTCTAAAATTTTTTCTGAAAAAAATTAGGTGAAGGCTATTTTGACTTATGTCTAGAAAGTCTGTTATAGACGAGGTGGTGGTCACGAAAATAGAGGTTCAAACTGTAGGGAGGATTATTCATGTAATTCTTTATTTTTGATAATGAATGGACGCCTTGAAAACGACTCGTTGTCTAGCATTTCATTATTTATTTAAATCATTTGAATTGTTTTTGTTTTGTCCATTCGTTCAATGAACTTGGTCTTGCTGCGACTATAGGCTGAACGATCAAGTTGAAACTCGTGAAGCAAAAAGGTTAGACATTTTCATGTTTTCGCTCGCCATATTTATCTCTGTATTTAGAATACAACATCGAAGTAAATTGAGAAACTAGACGGTCTAAACATTCCATAGTCACTAGTATTGTCATACCGTTCTTTATAAATAACAGTAGAAAGTTACTTCATATTCAACAATGACGGAAAGCATGAACATTTTGCGGTACATAATATACGAACAAAGAATTCTTCTCTAGGTTAGAAGACCCCGTTAATGATAACATAAAATGCATTATGGAGATTTTTCTTATTCGCGAGCTCGCAGACCTCCCGCTGATATAACGAATCATCGATGAAAATTTTTAAATTCCGGAAACGAACCACGGTCCGCGAAAATGGCGCGGCCAATCGGATATACATAATCCATGGCCGATCCCATAATTTCGACAGTATATTTTTAATAGAAACTGACACGTATCGCTGGGACGTGCAAGATGCAGTCGCGCCGGATATACTGAGCCGTTTTAAGGAAAGTATCGATGTCCAGAGGAAGGTCGTGAAAATGTACGTACTTACGAGGTTGAGCACGGCATGAGCGTAACCGGCGCGAGGGAGCGAAAGAGTGAGAAAGAGCAAAGGTAAGCCGGATACTAGAAAGAAATACCGTTCGGGAGAACGAGCGGGTTGGCGATTCGGCGATAGAGAAGCGTAAGAAAGGAAAGAAGATAGAAAGATCGGAGCAGAGCGGCGGCCGTGTCGCTGCGAGCTGTCAGAATCGGTCGGTTGTACAGAGACGAGAGTGTATAACCTATATCCGATACGCCGCGGCGCTGTTACATTCTCCGTGCCTCCTCCCCGGCGGGTGGCGGCCGCACCTCCTCCTTCTCACCGATTTTAATCTCGTTAGCGGACACGTGCGCGCCCCCGCGCCTACAGACCGCTATACGACGACGTACTGTGTCGGGGCTTCGCCAATCTGGTTTGGTCTAACAGGATTCTCGAGCGACCGAGGGTTGATAAAAGGCTGCGTACTGAGCGGGCGCGGCGCGAATCGCAGGAGGAGTTGCTCCGTTCGAGGTGGTGCAAGCGCTCCGTGCAGCAGCGGCAATAACAGCAGACGACCTCGTCATCATCTTCTGTTCTGTCGTCCCCCCGGTTCGTTGTTTCCGTCTACGTCGTCCCCGTAATCTTGTCTTGTCGTTTGGCATACGTCGGCCGTCGCGTGTGCGCGCACACGGTGCATATTCAGTGCGAATCCATCCCGTCGCGTGTGCGATACAGAAAGAGCGAGCCGTAGAGAGAATCGAAGAAAAAAGAGAGACAGGGAACGGTAAAGAAACAGAGAGGGGGTGAGAGAGAGAAAGAGGATCGAGGGCGAGAGGAGGAAAGAGATAGAGCGCCGGTGGGTTACCACACCCAACCGCGCCGGGAACCGAGTGAACGAGTGAACGAGTCGTACGAGAGCTCTCTCGCGAGGTACAGCGAGGGACCTAGGGACCGACGATCGAGATTCGACGGAGCACGGTCGGGACTCTAGATCTCGATCCAACCGGACCTCGCTCCCGTGGAATTCGTCTCTCGCACGGGAATCGTCGAAATCCGCGCCGCGAGCGAATCGCTCGGACCGTGTGTGTGCGCGCGTGTCTCATCTCGTTTCGTCGACCTCTGTCGCGAGTGCGTCTCGGCGACGAAAACGTGGTTCGAAATCGCACGTCGTCGTAGCAAGGTACGAGAGAGAAATTAACGAGAAGCGAAATAGGAGAGGAGAAACAAGAGGGCAGACAAGCTGCCGGCCGAAGTTCGTGCGTGTGCGTACATGTGTTGATGTGTCGCTGGCGTCGTCGAGCCCTGCCAAGAGTGTTCCGTCGCCGCGTGTACCGACGTCGTTGAGAATACGAGGGATCTAACCGTAGACGCGGTCGAGTCCTACGTCGTCGTCGCCCGTGGACAAGTGGTTGTGTGAAGCGTGGTGGTGAACGGGGGTAGTGTTTGGTGCGGACGATCGTGAAAAAGGGTTTCTTCGTCGGTCTCGTCGTTACGAGGTGCGAAAGGGGAACCACGAGGACGGCGACGAGGCATCGTCGCTTGTTCGCGGTGGCAAGGTAATATCGGCCCGACGACGATACCGTGCAGTCGAGCCTGCTGCCGTCCACAACAAACCTCGTCGCTCGGCGATCTCTCGCTACCACCGCAAATCGCTTCTTCCCTCTTTCCCTTCCTCCCTTCCTCCCCCTCTTCCTTTTCCTTTTCCTTCTCCTGTTCCTTCTCATTTTTTCCCTCTCTCGCTCCTTCGTACGTCGAGGATCCTGCCGTCCTGAGCCATGGCGTGCTGCCTGTCGGAAGAGGCGAAGGAGCAGAAACGTATCAATCAGGAGATCGAGCGGCAACTTCGAAAGGACAAGCGCGATGCCAGGCGGGAACTCAAGCTGCTTCTTCTCGGTGAGTTTTTCGGAAATCTTGCTCTCGCGATCCCCGCTGATCGTTGCCCTCTTCCCGATAACCACGACGCCATTCTATCTCCGTACCCGTTCTCGCGTGCCCCGTTGTTGTCGATCGAATTCGTCCGGGTGTGCCGTCAGTTTCTTTCTGTCTGGCGGACACGTTCGTTTTCATTCACGCGACTCAGCAGATGTCGTGCTCCTCGGCGAGATCGCCGTTCGTACCTGAGACCCGATCCGCGGAGCACGAGTGCAGTTGACCCAGTCTATATAGCCCGGCGTGCGCTTGACAGCTCACGACCATAGTCGTTACACGATACTGTCCCGGAGCTTCCTGCAGGCCCCTCTATACGTCGCTGCGTTTACCGAACCTCGGAAACGCGTTGTTTCGCCGTCTTTTCACACGTTTACTGCCATGGCGGTCACCGGTGACCGGCGCCTATAACTCGTTGCGATATCGTTTACCGTTAGAAATTGTAAATAACGCTACTTGACACGGTCGTGTTATCGAATATTTTTACGGTCAACGTGTGAAAATCGCGAGCCCTCTAGACTGTCCGCGATCACGCCATAGATTTCTTGGCCCCAGCGGCGCGTAAAGACGCGAACGGTTTTAGAAAATTGCCAAGATATTAAAAGCCGCTTTATTATTATCGCTGCCGTTGCTTTGTGGACCGACGATCGAACAGATCGATTATCCCGTGCGAGAAATTATCGCGGTATGATTTTTTATAACGCTCGCGTCTCGCTCGACGGCTATGGAAACTCTGCGGAGTTTTAACGGATCAGACGGAACGGCATTGTAAGGAAATATTTTTTTTTATCGAAGATAAAAGCCAACTCGACGCTGCGTGTCATCCGTAATCCACGCTATCAGCCGAGGGAATGCTTTATGATCGGGAGGAGAGTCTATTCTAAAATTAGTCACAGTTATCGAGGAGTTTAGGCTGATCTTACGCGTGTTTGTATATCTTATCCATCTGCCTGTTTCGTTTCGATTTTTAACGCCGCAGGAATGCGAGCCTCGATTCGTCCACTGGCATAATTGCGATTTTTATCACCTTTCATCCTTGTATCGACAATTGTGTATTCGGGGCTATTCTTTTTCCATAATTAACAAATTTTTAACGTTCTTCAAACTGTCAAGAAACTACAAAAGTTATAATTACAGTTAAATCTATTATAAACAACACCATAAGAATGTTTTATCTCCAAATTACATAGAATATGAAATTTTTTATAAAAAACTATCTACTTTTACTGACTTTTTGTCGTTGACAATTGTGCATTTTTTGACTGAATTCTGTTAACTTTTTTTTTTTTTTCATTTCCATCTAATTGTACCCATAGAAGATGTGGAATATTGTGTGTGTTATTTGCGCGCTCAGGGAACCATAATACACGTCCGTTATTTGTTTTTCTTTGTATCATTGTTACCAATATGGTGCCCTGCAGTTCTTCCAGCAAACATAGAGAATTTAATCTGGAGGTCAAAGGGAGAAAGAAAAGCTACGCGTAGTTCGCGCATAAATGTGTCGTTGTAAAATTAAAAACGAAATTACACGATTTTTTACGCGTGGGTGACTTTAAAACAAAAAGTTTAGCGAATTGAAATAGCAGTTATTGAAACTCGGCAGAATACTGGGGAACTTTGTAGAGTAATAAATTCAATTGTTTACCTGCATCCAGGCAGAAGGGCATTATTTTGAGGTTAGATTTTAAAAATAGCGTGGAATTGTAGTTTTATCGGGATTTAAAGTAGTGTGAGTTATTATTTCTCATTTCAGTAATTGCCCAATTAAAATCTCATTAACTCGATTAAGGAAACTTTAAATTAGATTTTCCTCAAAAATCGTTTTTTCGATTAAGATAATATTCTCTTATGGAAATTTTTAAATATGTTTTAGAACACACATTTTCCAATGTCGGACGGTAAAAATGATCGAATATCATTTTGTACCAAGAATATAACGCTATTTCCGGCACGTGGAGCGGTTGGAACAATTATAGCGATAGTTCGTGTTAAGAAATACAAGGTGTTTCATAATTCATGATACAGCTGTAAAGTGGATGATACCTCGCCTACAAATAAGTCGAAAGTTTAGAATCTAATTATTCTCGTGCAAGCTTTCATTTTCAATTAATTTTTTGATCGCTTATTTGGTTAAAATTTCTATCGTGTTTATAGAAAATATATCGAATTGTTGATTCATAACCTCAAAGCTATCTCCTAAACAGAAATACTGGAAAAATCGTGTTATTAGAAAAAAGAATTTTATAATAATTTTATTAATTAAATTTGCTAATCGATAATTTATTTACAAACTGATGATAAGAATGCAACTTTCTTAATTGTCAGAAGCCATTTTTTGTCGGGACGTCGATAAAATGCGATTAGGTGTTTTGTGAGAATGGTTTCTGATAAATTATTGATCATTTTGATCGGGAAGTTTTTAAATATTAAATTACATATTACGCAAGCATTCTGATATTTTGTAAAGCAGATTAAATAACGATTATCCAAAAAACGAATTATTTCGCGTTTTGGGATTATTTTTTTACCCCTAGAAATTGATTTTTTTAGGACTTTTTGTACAGCTTGATTTGGAGAACACAAAATATCGAAATTTATATGAAACGTTGAAACTTTTGAAATATTGAATACGATACCGACCGCGATAATGTTATTTGATTAGGCGATTGCACAGAAAAAATTCCTAGCTCGAGTAGTTCGAATATTCGAACCGAGCCGAGCACTCGAGTATATTGAGTGTCAGAGAAAAATCAGCGATTACAATTTATCGCGAAAATGCACGGGACGTATTATTATTTAGCTTTACGCCTCGTAACGATGTTCAGACAATTAAAAGCGGGAAAGTCTTTCGGCCGGTTTGGCGGAATAAATCTTTAAATAATCGGTTAACATAGAAATGCCAACTTTTCGCGTTCCAAAAATATTCGGACATCTGGTATGTTTGGCAAGTTATTAGCTGTAAGGTATTTTTCAGCGACAGAATAAGGGACTCGCTTCTTTCGAGCGTTGTAAAAAAAGAAATAAATCCCGTTAATGAGATATGTAAATTACTGTATAAATGGTTAATAATTTTATTGAAAAATAAATTTTTATTGCCAATTGAAAATCAATCAAAATAAGACTTTCGTATCTGATTTTTTTACATTATTTAGTAATTTTTTTTTTATCGAAATAAAATAAATTAACAAATATTTAGTTTATTGATACATTGTTCATAATAGTAAATATTGAGAGAAATATTTTTGCTTTTGATCATAATAATTTTTCTCTTTTAGTTGAATATATTTATAGGTATGAATCTGAATTAGGTTTTAGTTTTGTTAGAGATTGTTTAATAGTTTAATATTGTTAAGAAATTTAACTAGTTCGCCCCTGGGAAAATTATAATTTATGACCTGCAATTAAATCTACACTATGATCACTTGAGGTAACCTAATTTTTGTACAAATAGATTTTGAAAAATTGTATTAGAAGAAAGTAGAGCCAAATAAATACATGTGTGTATAATATTCATTTTTAATTGTTTGTGCGGATTCAAGATTAGCAGTTAAATATTATCGTGATTAGATGAGTATTTATCGAACCATGCGGAGCTACTTAATAAGCTTAATTTGCTGCTCTTATGGTCTAATAAATACACATCCAATAACACATTATTAGTAGTAACCAAAGAAGAAATGAATTTGTTGAATCTATCTGAACATTATTCCAATTAATTTGCAACAACCAACAATATTTAAAAAACAATTTTTCAGTACCTTTCTAGAAAATGTGCAAATATATTTAATTATAACGAGACACCTGTTAAACAAAATTTTTTGTTTTAAATAACATTATTTCGCTTCTTTGAAGATTCTTGAAATTATTTTAGACGGACGAAATAAAATTTGATACAAATTTTGAATCGGTGCCATTTTGAAGATCGAGGTTAGGTTAAATCGAAGATCGGTTTATGGACAAAATTTCGTATATAGTTAAATAAAAAAGCCTGAAACATAAAATGGAATAGAATTTATTACACTTAGTAGAAAATAAAATCAAAAAGTTGATAAAGAGGGCGCCACTGCCTAATGGGTAATAATCGTTTTAAAAAAATTAAGTTTTTATTTGGATATATTTTTTGTACAGAAATGTATAATTCAATAAGTTCAATTGATTTCAAGTTATTCGAATTCTTGACCTAAGAGTCATTAAATAATCGTTAACCAAATGTAATTAATTTATGCGTTAAAACTTTCTACTATAAAGGTGTCTAATAGTCCCCCAGAGGCAAAAAGCCCAAAAATGGAATATCTAAAGTAAACATTGCATTAATATTAGATTTACGAAACCTATCAATTTTTAACAAGTTTCAGATTCCATAGTTAATTTTACAAAATTAAATATACCAAAATTGTGTTAATATTTGTAATAGTTATCTATTTATCACTCGAAGAAGTAAACAATTCTATAACCTTTTACTTTATACAGTCGCCATTTTGTTAAAAAATTTTCCTTTCATTTTGTTTCGGACGATACCTGCTGATCTATAAATTAATATCATTTTTTATTCCTTTATTTCGAATGCATAGAACATGCGATTATTTAAATAATAATGACAATAGTGTAATAAATATTTTGTACCAAAGATCGCTCTAAAAACGATGGATCTTAATGGAAATAATACCCCTATTAAGATCTTCACTGAATTCGTTGTAACTCCCATAATTTTTATTATTTTTCACAAAGAAAATTGTGGATATTGTTGAAACATAGAGTAAAAACTATAGATTCCAATTAAATGGAAAAAATAGTTTAATAGAAATTTCTAAAAAATTATTTAAAAATTGCCGCCCAGGCGGGAATACCCCCTTAACCCTTAACTTTGACTTCTCAAAAACTACATTAATTTATTACATTAAAATAAAAAGAATTACACAGAGAATTTTGTATATTTTGGACGTTGAAATGCCCCCCGATGCTAATTG